CTCTGCCTCCCAAGTGCTGGGATTAAAGGCATGTGCCACCACCGCCCAGCCCATCCCTTGCATTTCTTGTTACATCAAAAATATCAGCTGGGCAGTGGTGGCGCTTGCCTTTAATCCCAGCACTTGGGAGGCAGAGGCAGGCGGATTTCTGAGTTCCAGGCCAGCCAGGTCTACAGAGTGAGTTCCAGGACAGCCAGGGCTACACAGAGAGACCCTGTCTCGAAAAACCAAAAAAAAAAAAGAAAGAAATGCAAGGGATAAGAGGAGGATACTGTTTTAACAGAGAAAATGTAATTAATTACATAATTTGGAAACTCTGACAAGATGTAGGCATCAAATAACATCAAAAGGTCACTATTAATTGTAATAGTTATCAGTTTTTATTACGGATGCATACTGTGATATTTATAAGCATAAAGATAACAGCATCTAGCCAGGCATGATAGTACATGCCTTTGATCCCAACACTCTAGAGTTAGAGGCCAGTAGATCTCTGTGAAACCAGCCCAATCTACAAATTGAGTTCTTTGCTAGACATGGCTACATAGTGAGACCCTTTCTTTCTAGGAAAATAAGTAAATAAAGTATCTAAAACTGGACATGCTGGTTCAGATTTATAACTCAGTTCTTAGAAGGTATAATCAGAATGATCAGAGGTTTGAGATCACCATAGGCTGTATACCAAGCAATGTGACCCAAAATCTGGAATGGGGAAAACAAACTCAAGGTAAAGAGGATAGAATCTTGTTCTTTTGACTGCCCCATGCTAATACCCACTGTGGTCCTGTGTTCGAGAAAGATCCTTAAAGGACTTACCAAGTTGTAAGCAGCCGAGGACTCCAAGGACAAGCCCCAGTGTATGGTACAGAGGGAGGACGTTGTAGAACACGTCGTCAGGTGTGCACCCACAGAAGGAGAACATGCTGCTCACTTGTATGACCCGCTCATGTGACAGGATGGCTGGCTTTGGAAGTCCTAGGCGATGAGAGAGCAATAAAGTTTGGGTAGGAAGACAGACCACAACTGCAGGGTGAGTCTCCAGAGTCAGATCTGCCTGGGTTCGAACCTCTCAGAGGAGACCAGGGACAGAGATTTTCTGGGTAATGTGATGCAAACCTATAATCCCAACACTCAAGAGGGGTAGGCAACTATGTAGGGAGTTCAAAGCCAGTTGGGGCTGCTAGAACAAGACTCTGTCTCAAAGACCAAAAAATGAATAACAGTAGAGCATGAAAATTCGTGGTTGAAGGTGGTTTTGTTTTTCTGTATGTTTTGATTTGAGACAAGATATCTCTCTGTAGCTCAAGCTAGCCTGAACTCACTATGTAATTCAGACTGGCCTTCATCCATCCATCCTTTTTTTCTTCTTCCCTCCTTCCCTTCCTCCTTCCCTCCCTCCCTCCTTCTCACCCTCCCTCCTTTTCTTCCTTCCTGTAGCAAGGCCCTGGACCTTAGTAGGCCCTGAGAACTTAGCACAGCTGACTCCAAGATAGAAGTACCTTTCAGGCTGCAAAACTCAGCACATAGACAGCACCACCTGCCAGAACTAAGACAAAGACCATCAAAGTCCATAGTTCTGACAAAGCCTCTAAATGTAATAATCTTTGCTTTCTAGATTCTGTGCTAACTGTTCTTGTTAACTGAAGTATGTCAACCCAAAATGTGTTTTTTATGATTAGAAGCTCACCCTGAAAAAGGCTCTGGTCTACACTGAGATCCTGAACAACTACAGAGGTCACCAGCTGGCTAATAAAGAATCTCTATTGGCTTAACCCATGTCTGAGCACTCTTTTCTAGTGAATACCCTATACTTTTTTCCCTCTTTCTTTCTATCTTTCCTTTCTTTCTCCCAAAAAGAATCATCATTCCTTTATGTATTTATATATTTGTATTTGTTTGTTTGTTTATTGAAACAGTGCTTCTCTGTGTAGCCCTGGCTGTTCTCAAACTTGATCTGTAGACCAGGCTGGCCTCAAACTCAAGAGAGCCATCTGCCTCTGCCTCCCAAGTGCTGAAATTACAGGCATTGGCTACCATGCCCAGCTTGAACATTTATTCCCCTTTAAAGGCATGGAATGGAATGCTTTGTGGATTAGTCTATACTGCTTGGACCGGGGACATGCTAATTTGTGTATTGGTCCAATCTTAGTATGTGCTCTGGAATGAGCAGACTCTGAACTCTGGATCCTCATAACCTTCTGAGTACTGGGATTTACATATGAACAGCACCAAGTCCCACTCTCTGATTGGTTTTCAGACTGGGAGTAGTAAATCAAAACAAAATAGAGCCACACTAGGGGGTCAGAGTCCAAGGCAGAGGTCCAGATCTAGGGCAGAGTTGGGTGTCAGAGGACAAACTGAAGGCATGGTGCAAGGTGAGTGGGGTCAAGATCCGAGGGTGGAGGGTTGGGGCAGGACCACAGCCATCCTCACCTGTGGTCCCTGAAGTATAGATGAACATGGCAGGGGATTTCCACTTAATATTAGCTCGAAGGCTGGCAGGCACTGGGTCAGAGGGCGCAGCATCCAGGGCAGCTCCCAGAGCCTCTATACCTGGAGTGGGTGAGCTGTGGCCCAGATAGAAGCAGCGGATGTTCTCAGCTAGCAGCTTGGGAAGGACTTCTTCCAGGTTCTCCTGGAGGTCTACAGAGACCATCAGAGGAGAAAAAAGGCAAATCTTAGCTTCTTCCAAAGTCAAGGAAACCCAGACATGGAAAAGCAGATCCCAGAGAGAAGCTTTCTTGTTCTCTAGATAAAGAACCCTATAATTCCGGGTGGTGGTGACACACGCCTTTAATCTCAGCACTCCAAAGGCAGAGGCAGACAGATCTCTGTGATTTGGGGCCAGCCTGGTCTATAGAGAGAGTTCGAAGACAGCCAGGGCTACACAAGAGAAACCCTGTCTCTAAATTAATTAATTAATTAATTAATTAATTAAAAAATAGAAAGGAACCTTATAATTGGTAAAATATAAACTTATTCAAATAAAGCTGGACATAGTGGCCCACACCTTTATTCCCAGCAATTGGGAGGCAGTGGCAGCTTGATCTCTGTATGCTCAAGGCCATCCTGATCTACATACTGAGTTCCAGAATAGCTAGAGCTTCACATAATGACATCCTGCCTTGAAAACAACAGCAAACAAAAATTTCAAAAAAAAATTAACTAAAAATTAGTTAAATGGAACTGAAAGATTTAGAGAAGAAAAAGACTCCCAAGTGGTGAACCTAGAATTACTTTCCCAGTAACCTATATTTTGGCCCTGATTGCATGGACTGGGAATAGATCCAACAAAAGGCTTCCAGAAACTTCTGACCTCCCTTGCTTCTGTCCCTTTCTGCCCTTTCTGCCTCTGGGGCACTCACCTGGATCTACAATCAGCACACTGGCCCCAGAGCTCCGTACAGAGTGTAGCAAGGGCATCCCTCGGCTGTGTGGGTTGATCCAGGCCACAGGGCAGCCTAACTTGGCCAACCCCAGAAACACACTCAAAGCAGAAATGGTCTTGGACGGGAGCACTAAGATAGCAGCAGCGTCTCTTGCCTCCTGGACTCTGGCATCCTTCAGCTTTGCTTTCAGAGCCCATGCTGCCTTACAGGACTTGGCCTCCAGCTGGCTGTTCGTGATTGAGCAGCCCTCGGACCCAGTATACACCAAGGCAACCCGGTCAGGTTGGGCCTGCGCTTGCCGCTCTAAAGCATCCACAAAGGTCTCTGGAGGGTGTCTGTTAAGGCGTCGCCTGAGCTTCAGGCCATAGAAAAGCATCTTGAAGGCGAAGGGCACATCTTTGTGCAGCCAGCGTAGCTCTGGAGGTGGCTGTGCAGGCAATAAGAATAATGTAAGAGCTGCTCCTGTCAGGCTCAGCCAGTGGGGCATCCAGGAGCTGATCCAGGGTCTGCCCAGTAATGCCAAGCCAAGCAGCACAAAGCACATGGGGTCTCCCAGGAGCCAACGCAGGGCCAGAGCCGTAGCTGCTGGCCATATGGGTTGCCCCAGACCAACTAGCAGAAGCAGCAACAGCAGTAGGAAGGTTAGTTTCTTCGAAACACCCATGGCACTGGCTCTTTCTGAAGTAGCTGACGTGTAGTCTCAGCTCGGACTAACGCTCTGAAGCCCTAACTTCCTGCCTTTAAGGAAATCTGTCTACCCACTCCCCAAATATGACCAAGTACTATCAGCAACTGCATGCAACCCCTGGACTCTGTCCTTTCGTTACTTAGTTCTTACTGGCTGGGAGTCCTCCTACAGTTCCAGCCCCCTGCCTGATCACCCGCCCTGCCCCACCCCCTTGGACACCACCAACCACCCTCCTCTTAGGGCTAACATTTGTCTCTAGCTCCTGTCTGTTAGCTATGGGAGACAGGAAATAAGACCTGCCTGACTCTAGCCAAGTAAAGAAGTCAGGTAAGAAACAGCCTGTGGTTTTATTTCCTTGACTCATGAAACTGAGCCCTTTGTTCTGGGAAGAGGCTGCCTGTTTGATAGACAGTTAACAACTTAGTAAATTCTTAGAACACCTTTATCATCTGGATTTAAACATACTTCTGCTCTCCATCAGGAGCCTGGTATTCCTGTGGATTGAGATTTGGTGTAAGAAGGAACCAAACTGAAGCCATTTTGCGTAAAGCTTCCATTTTGAATAGGGGTCAAATAACGTTTAAGTTCTCTAGACCTCCTTAGGCAACTGCCATCCTGGTTGGTAAGTCACCCCACCACAGTTAAATAAATCAAACAGTGAGAACAGGATAAATGTACTACAATAGGGAGATGCCCCCAAGAAAGTCCTTCATCCCAGAATCGTGATTCGTAGAACATTCTAAGTGTAACTTGGCATAGACGCCTGTAGCTTTGAGGCTTAAAAGTTTTGTTAACATTCTACCTTGAGGTCACAGTTCAACTCCTGAGGCTGTTCTGCATATCTGATCTATCAATAGTGGTTTGATTGCAATACAAAACAATTTTCGTTTACTGTTTTGAGCTGGTGTTTTGAGTTGTGCTGGATCTAAATGGACTCCACAACATTTAGTCCATTGGCCGGGAATCCAATCACTCTACCCAGGTTCCTGATTTAAGACCTCCAGAGGTAAGCCTGTTTCTCGTGCTGTTTAGAGCACCACTGGTTGTCTCACTGAAGGAGGCTGGAGGCAGTACTGCTTTCAGAGTGTGAGAGGATTGAGGGACACCTCATCTGCCTCCTGGGCCCCTTTGGTAGGGCCTCTGGTATGGATCCTACTGCTGGGACATCTTGTTCTCTTCCGTCTCTTCACCCAGTGTTTTTGGCTATCATCAGCATATAATGTTTGTCCATGTCTGTCAGTTTGTGTCTGTAGTTTGTTTCATTTCATTGTTGCTTTGTGTTTCATATTCAGAGGAATGGGCCAAACTTCATCTGCCATCCACCCATGCTGTCACTACCATAGCAAGACCAGAACAGTGAAATAATGCGGTTACAGAAGGCAGTGCTTGGGCTGGTGGGCAGCTTTCTCCAGTAGGGAAGCCAGCAGCTAGCTCCACTACAGGTCTGCTGTGCCCATGAGAATTGGATTAAGCAGGTAGCTGCTCCTCCCTTGAAATTATAGCTGGGGGAGATCAGGAAAGTTTTGCCTGTTTTAAATCTCTAAGTGTTGTGGCTATTACATGTTTGTTTCTGACTGGTCTTAAAATGAGTGAGTTTACAATGGTCTGTGTGTCATGGTTATAGATTTTTGGTTTGTAAATTATTGGGTAGTTAAAAACCTGTAACATCAGCCGGGCGGTGGTGGCGCACGACTTTAATCCCAGCACTTTGGAGGCAGAGGCAGGAGGATTTCTGAGTTTCTGAGGATTTCTGAGGCCAGCCTGGTCTACAGAGTGAGTTCCACGACAGCCAGGGCTACACAGATAAACCCTATCTCGAAAAACAAAACAAAAACAAAAAAGAAACAAAAAAAAATCTGTAACATCAGTAACAAAAAGTTAGTTTAATTTGGGCTGGAGAGATGGCTCAAAGGTTAAGAGCACTGACTACTCTTCCAGGCAACCACATGGTGTGTCTCACGGCTATCTGTAATGGGATCTGATGCCTTCTTCTGGTGTAGGCATAATTCCTGTTTTTTGTTTGTTTGTTTTGGTTTTTCGAGACAGGGTTTCTCTGTGTAGCCCTGGCTGTCCTGGAACTCACTCTGTAGACCAGTCTAGCCTCGAACTCAGAAATCCGCCTGCCTCTGCCTCCCAAGTGCTGGGATTAAAGGCATGTGCCACCACTGCTCGGCTGTCCTGTCTTAAAAACCAGGTTTATATTTGTTTAATGAGGTATTAAAGCTGTATTCATATACAAGAACATACCTTTACTGGCAGCCAGACTTTGTAACATAAGGGTAATGAACTTGGTATTGATTTTAGAGGCACTAATTGTTTACACTGTTAAAACTAGGTTTTGCCTTCTACAAATTATGAGTGTGCTCTTTGGTCTTCTACATAATTCTACAAATTATGATCTTGAAACCAAAAAGGTACTTTATTTTGATATTGCAAAAATCCACAATTAAGGCTTAAAAGCTCTGCAACATTCTGGCTGAGGGTGGGACAGGGAGTTGCAGTTCGGCTCCCAAGTCTGCATTCCTGATCTATCAGTAGCTGATTGATTACATGTTTGTTTTGTTTTAACTTGCTATTTGAGTTGTGCTGAATCTAAGCAGATTTCACAACACTGGGACTCAGAGGCTGAGCAATGCTTTTGATACCCAGCCACAGAGGAACCCTATAGGCCCAGAAGACACAGGCAGGGCTGGGGCCTGGCCTTGCAGGATAACCACCAGATCCTTACAGTTAGGTACAGATGCGTAAGGTATGGGAAGGAGACAGGGAGGATGATGCCTCTCTGAGCTGATAACAGATCTAACACTGGTTTCTTTGACACTAGATCATTAGGATATTCAATTGGCAAGCTGGGTCCTAACCATTTTGGCTTCCCATTCACCTGACACAGCCATCCAGTTCACTCTGGGTTCTCTAGTACTTAGTGCTTAACATCCAGGGTTCAAATGCCCTCAAAGCAGCCTGGCCCCCAAAGAACCCTCCTGAGCATCTCACAAGTAGGTGTCCAATATTCATGTCTGTCAAAATGGGGGAGGTGGAATTTTAAAGCTAAAGGGTTTCTGGTTGAAAGGGGGTTTTATTTCTGCATTGTCGAAATGTAACAGCCAACATTGGGACTGGGACTCCCCTGCCCACAGGGCTGAACACTTCAGGACTGTTATATATGAAGCCTACCTACCCACCTAAATCCCAAAATACAAGACTAGGATATCAAACCAAATTGCACCTACCTGCTCAGGAAATCTCAGGGCACTGCAAAAGTGTGAGTCAGGGACACAGGGACCAAGCCCCAACCCCACAGCCCAGAAAGCCTACGAGGCATGTACTGGCCCGATGTCCTTTATTAGACTGGAATCCTAAAGTCCCAAGGTAGGTCCATCTGGGCCTCCATAGGTGCCCAATGAGGGAAGGGTGGCTCCAGACTGGGGGTGAGGTCAGAGAATTCTAGCCCAGCACAGGGGCAAAGGACAACTCTAGACACCATACCTGGCAGGGGTTGGGTCACAAATCCAGCATCAGGTTCCAAGAATGTGTTTGCCCAGCTCAACCTGGAAATGGTCTCTGAGGTGCGAGGGGCCCTGATCATCTCGCTCTCCCATCGAGAGAAGCTAAGCAAGTGTAGGAGAGAAATAGGGTTCTGGGTCCCAAGTCCACAGGGAAAACAGGGTCAGAGTAGGGAAGGGAAAGGGTCCGTACTCCAGAGCAGGAGCCTTCTGCTGGAGTGGACCTAGTCCAAGGCGGCTGACTACACCAGCCAGCGGTGTGAAGCTGGCTCTCTATCAAGGTGCAGGGTGAGCTGCCAGGTGTCTTTCCAGCAGTGCCCGGTGTGAGAAAACTTTGCCGCAGGCAGGGCAGGGCGCACGTTCAGGCCTATGTGTGCGCATGTGCACGTTGAGTGAGCTCTTCTGAGTGAAGCGCTTGGCACACACTGCACACTGGAAGGCTCGCACACCAGTGTGTGTGACCATATGCTTGAGCAGGTAGTCACGTAGAGAGAAGGATCGCCAACACACAGCGCACTGATGTGGCTTCTCCCCTACAGATGACAAAGCAAACCACATGTTAGTCTGGCTTGATCTCCCTGGAGCCTGTCCTGTAGGGACTTCTCTAGTCTCCCCTCCTGGGTCAGGTCAGGACTCTTTTGCTTGTTAAGTAAACCACTCTGGAGTCGTGCTCTGCAGGGAACCCCTCTCCTGAACCTACATCACCATTTAACTATGCCATTGTCTACCAGGGACCCTAAAAGAAGAACTCTGTCTGGAACGACACCCATTGCCCATCTGGGCTACACACACAGATCTCGCCCAACCTCAAGGACTCTTCTTGCCCAACTCGGGGAAATAATCCTATCTTCCTTCACCTCAAGTCTCTTCTGGCAGCTCCTGGAGCGGAAGCTGGCCAGCTTCCCACACACACTTCCTTTAATCTGGCCATCCCAGGCTGAGTCTAGCTTTCCAAAGGCCTTGAAGGCTTTTTTAGAAAGGCAGGCTCCCACTTCCCAATCGACCCCTTCACAGAAAGAAGCCAAACCTCTAGGCTTTTAGGGTTAGCACAGAACAAAGCTTCTCAAGCAAGTGCCCAATCCCACCCAGAAACCAAATCTCCGATGATTAAGGATCTCGGAAATCTGTGCGATTTCCTTCCCCACTCACCAGAGTGGATGAACATGTGCTTGGTGTAGTTTTTCCGCGAGCTGAATGTCTTGCGGCAGTGGCTACACTCATAGGCCGGTTGCTCAGCACCTGGGGCACCGGGGGCGCGCACAGGAGTGCCTGAGATGGCTGTAGCCTGAGCAGCAGGGGCTGCAGGCAAAGCCTGCGTTTCTGCCAGCTGAGCACTGGGGGCTGCATCTGGCTGGAGGGTGGGGTAGAAGGTGGGTGGGGGTGCAGGGGCTGGCCCAGATGGAGTAGGAGGTGTTGGCGCTGGGGGACCCGGAGCACCCAAGTGAAAGGGAAAGAGAACCACGGGGGGACCAGGGGTCTTCACACCGGTCGGGCGAGGCCCAGCCAGGGCACAGTCGGGTGGAGCAGACGTTTCCACTGGACAACCTTCTGGACCTCCGCTGCCTTCCTCGTGCCAAGCTGACACGTAACTATCTGGGAACACATCTTCAGTGACCCCAGTCCCCCGAAGGAACTCTCTCCCGGCACCACCATAATCAGTGATGCCAGTGGATGCAGGGGGATCCTCTCGAGCGCTGTCAGCTGCAACGGTAAGGAAGCCCCCTGCACAGTCGGGGAAGGCAGGGGGAGCCTGGCCTTCACCCGGGCCACCGCCTCCGCCTTCACCTTCTTCAGCGTCGGTTTCTTCATCCGTCTCCTCATCGTCATCCTCTTCACCTCTATCTTCAGGGGCGGCAGTCAGCGCTGGCTCTGCATCAGGCCCCTCGGCCTTGATGGGTGCTGGGGGTGCAGGTAGCTGAAGACGCGCAGGCTGGCGCTGCTTGCGGCTGTGCGCGGCGTTGGGATGGCCTGGGGGGCGGGCGGCCAGCAAGTGGCGAAGCCGGTGGCGCAGCTGCGCCGGTGCGAGTGGAGGGGGCACGGGTGGTGGCAGAGGCGCAGGCGCCGGGGTGTTGGGGACACGGGCACGAGCGATAATCTGTGTGCATTCGTCAATGACGGTCTGGATGCGAAGCACCGACGCTGCAGTGAGTACCTGCAGTGCTTCGCCCTGTGCCACCACCAACGAGCCGCTGTACAGGAACTCGACCAGCTGGCGCACTGTCTGCGCAGGCACCACTGGTGGCACACGAATCTCTGAGTGGCCAAGCAGCAGCTTATCCTGAAAGAAGGGTGAGCCCGCGGCCAGCACACAGCGATGAGCACGCAGAGAAGCCTCACGGATACGCACGGTCACATCGCAAAAGTGACCGCCTAGCCTCTGCCCGTTGAGAGTCTCCAGTAGCGAGCGAGAAAAGTTCTGTAGGTGGATGTGGTGCACGGCCTCTGTGGCTGCCATCTGGAAGATGAGGAGACAGCGGGGATGGCTTTTTTTTTTTCTTCTCTAGTCTACCTTAGTCAGATTTCCTTATCCTACCATCACTAAAGGCACCAAGCAGATCTATGACTACCTCGAGAACCAGGTCCCATTAACAAGTGTTATGTGGAGGTTTTCAGAAGGGTGGAGGGGAACTTGCCTTCTGGCAGAATGATCTGGGAGCACCTCTTCAGGCTAAGTATTTGTGCCCGTCATACCCAAGGAAAGCAAATAAGTTGTACATATAGCAAGGCCTTTGCAACCCTGTCTTTTCTTAACATCACCTGAGAGGTGCTAACTTTGGGGTTTGAAACTGCAGAAGGGATGTGAAAGGCCAGCAAGCTGAAACTCAGTGTAGTTTAGCAATCCCCATACTTCTTACGAACCAGAGACTATCATCTATCATCTCGGCACTAATCACACTGACGGACTGGAATGGATAAGGGAAGATATTCTACACACACACACACACACACACACACACACACACCACACCTGTCCCCGCAAAGGAGCTGGGAATCAGATTTGTCAGTTAACCCATCAAGCAAATAACTCCGGGTCTCTGGGCCTGTTTCTTTATTCAGCAAAAATGGGTGTTTCACTAGAATCAGATTGCATACACTGCTCTAAGGGAAAAGAATCAGATACAGGATATGCCCTGACACTTGACCACTGCCCACTAGACACTCTAGGGCCCCATTAAATCCTACCCCTTACAAAGGGACTACTGAGATCTCAGACTCAACGTTTCTAGATCCTTAACACAAAAACATCCTTCCGTTGGGCTCGGCCAGATTCCTCCCTTTCTCTCTGTATACATTGTGCCAGTTACCACTGGCCTGGGCTGCTGGAAGTCACCCTTCCACACCCCCACCTCCAGGCCTTTCCCTCACGCCGCAGCCAGAGGGAGCCTGCGAACCTAGTTTATCTCTATGACGATGAATTAATTCTTCAAACGGACCAAGGCTTTGAACCTGCCTCTGCCAAGCGGCTTCCTTTTTCAAATAATGTCCTAACCCATAACTCCTCCTTAAACCCACCCCCACCCTACTTCCCGGGCGCTCAGACTCCTCAGATGCAGTAGACCCTTCCTGGGTGCCTCAGAACAAAGGCATACTCTCTCCCACATCTACTGCTGCATTCTCACCACAACTCCCTCACCCATGCCATGCACCTTGCTCCATTAACCTGTCTCACGCCCACCTTATGCCAGAGCTCCCTTCGGGCCCGTTACGTCTGCCCCCAGTTTCCCGCCTCCGCACCCTTGCCCGCATCCTGCCCCGATCCTGCAGCGCCCTCTTGCGTTCGCAACGTGCACACCGAGCCTCACGCGGGCATCCCTTTCCTGACACGTCCCAGCCTTCTCTGTGATTCTGAGGCAGGGGGATGCCAGGTCGACCCTACCTCCACCTCCTCAGGTACCAGGCCCTGCAGTGGCTGCCTCCTGGTTGTCAACTTGAAGGCCGCACTTCCGGGCTCCGAAGCGGAACCGATAGCCGCGGCGCGGGCGGAACGGTAGTCGTGAGCACGTTTCCGGTGTTCCTCTTAAGACTAAACAGTCGTTGAGCAGAACTTCCGGTTTGGTCTGCGCCAGAACCAAAATCGCAGAAGCTGGGGATGGTCGAGCTAGGGATCAGTAGGCTGGAGCACGCTTCCATCGTCTCCAGGCCGATCCGGGTGAGCTGTCAATCAATCCTTCGGCCACGCCCTCAGTACTCTGAGTCGGTCTAGAGAGGGCGCTGGAATCCGGAGGCTGAAGGCTTGGAACTGTTGTGGCTTTTTTCCTGCACGGGAGAGTGTTTTTGTTTTTTTGGTTTGTTTTGTTTTGTTTTTGAGTCGCTTATGCTCCCACCCGAGATGAAGAGGCTTTGCAGAGCTTCTCTGCTGTCATCTAAGGAACTCAGGCAGGTCCACCTTCCCGAGGAAACAATTCGGTGTTCCCACCTCACCCCACCCAGAGCAGGAATTCACTGCTCTATAAATGAATGGTTGAAGAACCACAGCTTGGCCACAGATCAGAATAGAATGTAGGACATGAAGTGGAGTCGAAAGTAGTCAGATACCAAGCAGCAGGGACTAAATAAGTGCCTAGACATTCAAAAGGGGTTCCTAAGTAGTCCTTTTGCTGTTCTAGTCACCCTTGAACCAAACCTATCAAGTGGTGGGTTGGCCTTCCCTTCCCCTTTATTTTTGGGGCAGTCAATCAGCCACCATTTAAGGCCAGGTACTAGTAAGTAGGGCTGGAGAGAGGCGTAGAGCTCTGGGTCTCCGTGTAAGCGGTACTGTGGAGTCCAGTGCGTGGTGCCTCGGGAGGAAGCTATCAGGATGTTTTGTTCTCCATCCTGGAACCATGCTGGATAGCTGTTTTGTAAATGTATTTGAAAGTCTGGTGAAGTGTGAGCCAGGTAAATCTTTTTTTTTTTTTGGTTTTTCGAGACAGGGTTTCTCTGAGTAGCCCTGGCTGTCCTGGAACTCACTCTGTAGACCAGGCTAGCCTCGAACTCTCGAACTCAGAAATCCGCCTGCCTCTGCCTCCCAAGTGCTGGGATTAAAGGCGTGCGCCACCACTGCCCGGCCAGGTAAATCTTATTAGAACCCAAATCGAGGACTGGGAATGTAGGTCAGTTGCTAGAGGGCTTTTCTTGGGTCAGAGGCTTTGGGTCTGATCCTCAGCATCACAGAAAGCATGTGCATTGGGTCACACCTGTAGTCCGAGCACTTGAGAGGTTGAGGCAGAAGGGTTAGAAGTTCAAGAGCACCCCCAGATATCAGAGTTGAGCCCAGTCTGGGATACACAAGATGCTATTTGAAAAAGGAAAAAGAAAAGAACTCAAAATTTAACAACTAAGAAGGCTTGTGATCCTATAACTTGAAAGGGAGAAGCTGGAAGGAGTTTAAGACGGCCTCAGCTGGCCTCAGCTGTAAGAACCTGTTCATGAAAACAAAACAAAAAAAACACCCAAGTAAAAGAGCTGGGACGATGATGGCTTGCTTGCGTGCAGGAGATCCTGGGTTGAAATAATTAACATCCAAATGACCAAGCTTAATGGTCTGGCATCTTTATCTTTTCAGATTCTGAGCCCAAGAAAGAGACTTTGACTTCCCCCACTGACTCACTTCCCTCATACTGGATTGTCTTCTCTTTGCTCATTTCTCCTCAGCTAAATGACCCTCCTCTGTGCACATGGGGTTCCCTCACCTTATTAGATTGCTATGCTAAACTTCAGGCTTCCTCATCTTCTGTCATGTAAATTGTATCCTCCAACTTGGAGCCTCCTATAGTAACTCACAGGCATAGCCCTATCCTGGACTGCCGCCGTTGAGCTTTACACGGTAGGCCTATGAAGCATCACCAAATTAATCTGAGAAGGAGTTCAGATCCTAAAACCATTCCCCCAAATCTGGGTGGGATGGGACATGCCTTTAATCCCCCACACTCCAGAGACAGAGGTAGGTAGTTGGATCACTGTGATTTTGAGGTCAGCCTGGTCTAGAGAGAGAGTTCCAGGATAGCCAGGGCTACATGGAGAAATCTTGTCTCAAAAAAACAAAAAGAGATCTGGAGAGATGGCTCAGCAGTTAAGAGCACTGACTGTTCTCAAAGAGGTCCTGAGTTCAGTTCCCAGCAACCACATGGTGGCCCACAGCCATCAGTAATGGGATCTGATGCCCTCTTCTAGTGTGTGTCTAAAGACAGCTGCAGTGTACTCATATAAACAAACAAAACTTTAAAAAACCAAAAATAAATAAACGATACAAAAAAACCCTCCAAAACTATCTATGGGTGCAGTAATGAATTTTTCTGAACTAAAGATTCAAAAGGGGCTGGTGAGATGGCTCAGCGGGCTGGTGAGATGGCTCAGCGGTTGAGAACACTGACTGCTCTTCCAAAGGTCATGAGTTCGGATCCCAGCAACCACATGGTGGCTCACAACCACACACAATGATATCTGATGCCCTCCTAGGGTGTCTGAAGACAGCAACAGTGTACTTACATATAATAAATAAGTAAAAAAAAAAAAAAAACATTAAAACAAAAAAAAAAAAAAAAAGATTCAAAAGATAGCTGGGCAATGGTGGTTCATGCCTTTAATCACAGCACTCCTGAGGCAGAGGTGAGCAGATTACTGTGAGTTTGAGGCCACCCTAGTCTACCTGGTCTACAGCATTCCAGGACAGCCAGAGCTACACAAAGAAATCCTGTCTTAGAAAAACAAAAACAAAAAAGATTCAAGCCGGGTGGTGGTGGTGCACACCTTTAATCCCAGCACTTGGGAGGCAGAGACAGGCAGATTTCTGAGTTCGAGGCCAGCCTGGTCTACAAAGTGAGTTCCAGGACAGCCAGAACTACACAGAGAAACCCTGTCTTGGGAAAAAAAAAAAAAGACTAAAAAGGCAAGAAAAGTTTTTTTTTCCTTTTTTTTTTTTTTTTTAAGGAAGACTGATCTAGTAGAGTTAAAAATAATAGTAACAAAACCAGGGCAGGCATAGCAATAAATACCCAGAAGAAGAAAACAGAGGCAAGAAAGAAACCAAGCCAGCCATACTTTTTGAGTTAAGCCAGCATGGAAGTCAGCCACACAGCAGACAAACACATAACAGGGACAGGAGCTTTAGAGAAAGAATAAGGAAACCCAAAGTACCAGAAAAAGTGTACTGGCCAGCGTTGGAAAGAAAAAGACAAACAAAACAAACTGAACCTCAACAAGATGGGTAGACCCAATGGGAACTCAAGGAAGCTTGTGGGATTTGGGGGAAGGAAAAGTACAGTATGTTATTAAAGGTGGAATTATTCCACCATTTCACTAGTGTCACTTCCTAGGTGTGGCCCCACATTTCTAGAGGGCTGTCCCTTGGCCAGGTGATTGCCCAGCCTATCTAGAGTAACTCTTATGTTTTGAGTAGCTTGTAAGGTAATGTCTCCACTACTAGTCTCCCATTGACGGGCATCTACTGCTGTTGTGCCACCGTCATTCAGGAGTCTAAGGCAGGAGTATTACTACGGGATACAGAGTGAACACCAGGCCAGGCAGAACTGCATACTAAGGACCCTTGTCTTCAAACACAACAATAATGACAACAAAAAAAAATTGGCTCTCAAATTCCCAGAACCTGTATCATGTTAAGCGAATACTCCGATGAAAAAGTTTTTGCAGATGTGATTAAAGTTGTTCATTAAATACTCTTAAAATGGGGGATCATTGAATCTTGCTGATTTTCCAGAGTAAAAAGAAAGAAAGAAAGGAAGGAAGGAAGGAAAGAAGGAAGGAAGGAAGGAAGAGAAAAGAAAGGAAAAGAAAAAAGACAAGAAAAAGGGAAAGGATATGACTCCTCCTAGGTATGGTGAAGGAAAAATTTTACTGTAGATAAAAGGGAGAGCATAGCCAGTGGCAAACATGTGTGGGAGAGTCCAGAGTGTAATGACCCTGGCCCAAGTAAGCAGAGGGGAGAGGAGAAGAGAGAGGAAAGAAAGAAGAACCAGTTGCGTCAGCCAGGACGATCAGCAAGAGTAGATGAAAAAGATCAGGTAACCCAAATGGTTAGATTATATAGAGAAGGATGACAAGGGGAAGGGCATTCTAGCCCCTGGGCTGGAGAAGTTGAAGGTAGGGGGCTAGATATGCCACCCAGGAGGACCCTGTAACTGGTAGAAACTGAGGGACATGGGGAGAACTTGGCAGCCAGGTCCACTTTGATGTGATAGATACCTATCTCAGCCATCTGTCCCAGGTTTGAAACCTAACGCAGAGGACCCAGGTTCGAGTCCTAGTGCCCACTGGTGGCTCACAACTCTCCATAACTCTGGTTCCAGGGGACCTGATATCCTCTTCTGTCTTCCTTAAGCACCAAGCACTTGTGTGGTACACAAACACATGCAGCAAAGCACCCATACACCATACAGTAAATCTTTGAGGTTTTGGGGTTTATTTTGTTTTTGTTTTTTTGTTTGTTTTTTTGTTTTTTTTTTTTTGAGACAGGGTTTCTCTGTGTAGCCCTGGCTGTCCTGGAACTCACTCTGTAGACCAGGCTAGCCTCAAACTCTTGAACTCAGAAATCCACCTGCCTCTGCCTCCCAAGTGCTGGGATTAAAGGTGTGCGACACCACTGCCTGGCTAAGTTTTTTTTTTTTCTTGTTTTTGTTTTTTAATAGATGATCCTGGATTGTTTGGGTAACTCCAAAGCAATGAAAAGGGCTCTGAGCGGCAGATGTACTTAAAGTAGAAGATTCCAGAAGCTTACCAAGGGGTAGGCATGTGACAGAATGAGGGGGCAGAAACATGACGTGTACGTTAGACAACAAGCAGGAAAAACAGGAACCTCAGGGATACAGCTGCATAGAG